ATGGGCTTTGGGTCTCCATTCTGCACTCACACTCATTCACAATGATAGGAGTTTTTGTTCTTTGATGTCTGATACCTGATCCCTTCTACACCTCGTGGTCACAGAGGCTGGTGCGCTTCTTACATGTGGGCTTTGTTGCTTCTCAGCTAGATGGCCACTTGTTTATCTTCATGCCTTTAAGACCCCAGACGCTATATCTTTTGTTAGCCGTTGCCTGGCTACTCTTATGTAGCACAAATTATTTGTGGTTTGTCCATTCTGTTGCCGGTATATCAATAGCTCACTCCTTTTCCTAGTGAGCCGTATTCTATTGGATAGGCATATTGCATAGGAGCTCAATTGGTTTTTCTGTTCATTTGCTGATGGAGATCGGGTTGTTTCTAGCTTTGGGCCTTTTCATTACCCTAAAGTTCCTAAGGTTCAGTGGGAAAAAAGGCTGCACATTTTGATATTTACATCCTAGCATACCAATGATTTCCAAGTTTAAACAATATACTGAGGATATATAAATTAAGACACACAAAAAGAATAATCAGAATGATAGTGTAATTTATTCTTACCTTTTCAAAGACTGTGCTATCGAGATAAGGGTGAATATGAAAAGCTCCTCGAACCCTCTTCACCCCTGGATACAGCAACGGCACCATGTTAACATAAGCGACACCATGAAAGGAGAGCTGATTTTCATCCTCAGTCTGAAGGAATGAAACCAGAGACTGTGTTAGTGCCAGGGGGCACTGCAGGGCAGCGTAGTATTTGATACAGAGTTCTGAAGCAGGAGTTCATAAACCAACTACTAGGAACTGGCTTTGTTACTAGCTATGCCACCTTGGACTGGTTCCTTAGATGTTCTAGCTTTTGATGTCTTTATTTACAAAATGGATTTAATAATGCCATGATGACTTAGATAATGCATACAAATAGTTAATGAGTAGTAAAAGACTCACCACACTCAAATTCATTGATTTTATACAAGTATGTATCTTGAAACAAACACCAAAAAAAAAATCAATTTTACCACGTTGCTTCTCAGGAGAAAGTAAGGGTTTGTGAATGAAACCAGAAAAATATATACCTAAGTCAGAAGATGTAGCTTTTAGCTGTACTTCAGAGATTCATGAGGGAAAGGGGCCTTAGAAATCTCTGGACCAATGATGACCAAAAATTTCGACTTATGCCTAAATTCAAATTCATTGCTGAAGGAGCTTTGGAGTGCTGTGTTGAGAAAGACCGTATCCTTATCGAATGCTGAACACAGTCGACTGCTCACCAGCCTGCTGGAGGTTTGAGTTCCTCCAACAGCACCCGGGAAGAAAGACCCCACAGTTTACTTCCCCAACCGGTCCCGGATGTTCCCCAAAGGCACACACAGGAACACCACAAGGTGTAACTATGTTGTGGCTCAGACTCCCAGTGATCGGATCTGAGACACCAACTGTTCCGGTGCTATCCTCACAACTGTACTTCTGTTTGAGCCCACGGTTTCAACGATAGTGTCAATCCATCTCATTGGAGGTGCATCTTTAATGTTTGGGGTGGGGGTGGTTAGGCATAGAAAGGTACACTATATCCTAAGACAGACATTTAACTGTTGTTAGATATAAACCATGCATAGGGAAACTAGTTACATTCCAAGACACGGCCACTTCAATTAAGTAGGTACTCCCTAGGTGTCCTCGGGCCCACCTGGAAGACACTCTCCCCTCACAAGTAGCCAGAGCGTGCACAGCCACAGCAAGGGGCATTGTAAATGTTCCCTGCTTCAGGATAGCATGGATCTAACAATGAGATCTGAATCTGAGGAGGTTGGCATTATTAAAATTTTTCTAACCCACCTCATTCAAACTATAAAAAGACTTCCCCACAAGGACACCACCCGCTCCCCTCCCAGTGGAAACTTCCCTGTCCAGCGAGCTACCTCGGGAAGCAGTACTGTCCTGCTTCATAAGCCCCTCAACCCCCATGCAAATAAAATGATGTATTTCAGATCGGTGCTTGGTCAGTCTTTAAGACTTTCAGCACCTATGTATAGAGTCTCTCCCTCTTCTAAGGTTGAGCCCAAGCACTGTGCTTAATTGTTATAGTTTATGTACAAAATTGACTTAAAAGGCCAATTTAGGAATGGAACTCTTTTCATCATCTGGGGACCGCCTGTATGAACATTTTGAATGAGCATATTTACCTTATCTAATTTGCCACCTTTCCCTTTGGATGCAGTAACCAGAGGAACTCTTGTGATTTCTACAGGCCATAATCGGCAATCAGCAATTCGTTTCTGAAAGCTGAAAGTCAAAAATCAGTCCATTAGCAATGCATGTCAAAATGAGATTAGTAAAATTTAGGTCAAAGGGGAATATTTCCCATTTTAAGAAAGTAATGGAATACAGACATAAACAGACATTTTTTAATTAGGTAGGTAGCTTTTTCTGAAGCCTTTCCAAAGTTATAAAATTCTTTTTTTTTTTTGTACAGGGGAGAGTGCGAATGCAGTCCCCCACTACCACAAATTATGCAGTCGACCTTCCCATATTTGGGGAAATCACAGGGGTCAACACATCCGGAGTGCAATGAATAAGCCTCGCCCTGGGAAAACCACCTTTGTGATCATGGTATCTCCCCTACCAGGTGAGTCTAGCTATAAAATTCTAAAAATAATTCTACTCTACTACTAGTAGAGAATCTCTGGGTGGTTGCAAATGGCTAGTCTGTTATAGAAAAATCATTGAAAACCCTGAAACACAGTTCAACTCTGACCCACCTGGGCTTACCAGGAGTCAAAATCAACTCCATAGCAACGGTATTTTTCTTTTCATTTTACTACTAGCAGAAGCAAATAGTACATTTTTTAAGATCAATGAGACCAGACAAGAGAGCAAAATTTGAGACCTAGACTAGAGGCAGGGGCAGACATTGTTCCCCAAAGAGTCACAGATCTTAATCTCAAGGCTACCTCCCTCGGGCCCCTTGCACACGACATCATAGCAGGAACAGAGCACGACTGAACTAAAGCCCATTAGAAACCGGCAGTACTCGTCCATGGGCAAGGAAGTGCTCTGTTGGATACATTGGCTGGATGTTGCTTCATTTCTCTTAGGAGCTTCTAATAAATGTCTCCAGTGTACCTCTATGTCTACCAGAGTAAATCTACCTAAATAAAAATAACCTAATTCCTATGTTATGTATCTAGTGACCTGGTCAGGAGGGAGAAGAGACACTAGACAAAAAAGTGCCATTCTACTGGTACAGATAGGAGCTGAAAATACAGGGAATCCAGG